CCCAGATTACCGAGACACTGATAGAATCATCACCACTGGGAGTAGACAATTGGAATATATTTTTATGCTCCTGCTTAGCCATGATTCAACAAAGTGTGAGATGACTTTGAGGTATTGAAATGTGCATATAATATGATCCTGGCAATTGTGTAGTCATCCTGACTACAGCATGTGCTTGTTTGGTGTCATAAAAATATCTCAGTAATTTAAAGTCATCTCGCACTTCATTGAATCTCGCGACTCATGTAATATGCTCCCAAAATCTTATTAACTGACCAGAATCATGGCAGCCAAGCATGTCTTGTGCTAGAATCGTCTTTGATCTGCAACTGTAATGTAACTTGTATCATGCAGTATGTAGTGACGAAAACTTGAAGGTTACTACTTCAAGTGTGAATTGTTTCTTGGAAGAAGACTTTAACAAATAACAAGTAAATAAAGCAGCCTCTGTCAGAAAGATAAATTAATATCCAATTGCTGTGTTTGGATGGATGGATCCAAACACACAGGAATGTTGCAAGAGTTTTCTTTATTTAGGCCATCCAAACACAGGAAACCATTAAGGTTTATAAGATAATAAGAACAAGGTAGTGTTCCCAGTTTGATCTCACGGCGAATTAAATTTCAAACATGGTCTTTGACCAATCAGAACACATGTTATATATATGTGATTTTATAATTACTTGTCACATTGTATGTAGATGCTGCTGACAAATGTTTTCATATACAATGAAATTTTTGTGTAGCCATAATACCTCTGAGAAGTTTATGCCATGTATTGTATTATGTTATCAATATTCAATAGTGTGCTTGCTGCAGATTGGGAGGTCCTATTTTGTAAGCTTGCTGTGCGTAGACAAAAAACCACCGAAGTACATGTAGAATATTGTCAACATTCCCTGATTCCAAAGAAAAGCATGTTTCATCATTTCTAGGTTGAATGTATCCAAAGTTGTTATTGAATTGTGCATGTTGCATTTCTTTCATGCATTCCTTTCATGCATTCCTTTCACGCATTCCTTATCCTTAATATCTGTAACTTCATGTGGACATGTTGCCAAACTAAAACACTTATGTCTGTTTTTAGCCTGAAATGATCGGACACTACCTTGGCGAGTTTTCCATCACATACAAACCAGTCAAACATGGTCGCCCTGGTATTGGCGCAACACATTCATCTAGATTTATTCCTCTAAAGTAATAAATCTCTTGTGTGTTTGTGAAATGCATAATAAATATTGAAAATATATTCTGTGTTTTGTTTCCTGTTGAACCAAACTTTGCGTTTCACCATAGCAGCCCAATTATGCGTGATAATTTGACGCGAGAAATTTTTCGGCAATTCGTCAACAGGGTGTAATTGAGAAACGCAAAGTTTGAATTAAACTAAATTGATCCAGGACAACAAAGTCTCATCAAAATCGTCCAGCAACTGCCTGGAAAACGTACAACGAAATTTTTTGACGTTTCGACCTAATGGCGTAAACTCCCTTTTGCCCAATGCTTTTATCAGGAGAGAAGAAATAGACTCCTGCCAAGTATTTATCCCTGCCTTGCGAGAAGCGTAAAGACAGTATAAAGTTCAAGAGCAAAAGGAATGAAAATCCTTTATGACCCACTTACACGACTTACGCTTTTTGGTTCTTTGGTAGATGTGAACGAGTTAATTTGTAACCAATTACTCGTTCACATTTGTCAAGAAAGAAAACTGTTTCGAAGGTGTAAACGGGTCTGTATTGCATTATATCCATAACTTGTGCAGTTTGGATGCAACTATTTAGTTTCTACCCCCTTCTGCATCACCTACACACGGGTGGAAAATACCCGGAACACGTTTAGAAGATAAATATGCAAGCGAAGGAAGGAATTATCAGCAAAAACAAACGGCCAACGGGCTTCAGAACTGCATCGTATGGCCAGCACCGCTAAAGAGAATGCAACCACTCATGTTTTTAGAAATGCAAATATTTTTGGTATGTACAGAAATGCCCTGCTGTGTAAAACTTCCCACTACCTAGCCGAGACAATAGTGCAAACATTTGGGTAACATTTATACAATGAACTCTACTAGTATACGAGCTGGTAGCCAACGAGGCAAAGTGTGATTATAACTTTACAACAAAAGGAAAATCCATTTATATGATTCCCGATTTCTTGTTTCTTATTATAAATCATTTTTCCTGGAACATGCGCGCATTTCCGGGAAATGAAGGTTTTTGTTTGTGTTGCTATAGGCATAGCGTATTTGCGTTTCAATGGCTAACTTTAGATTACTTTTTTCAAATGTCATTCCTCTAAGAGTGGTTCGTTTACTCTGGTATTTCGATTATCGAGGATATTGCTTGGAAACATTTTTACACATGTTTTTTACATTTGTTTTTCTCGCTTTGACACTTACAAGTGATACAAAACATCCCCTGTAGCTTAGCTTAAATGTGACACATAAAAAGGGTTCAACTGTTGTTTAGGGGGAAAAACATGAAAATTACTACAATGCATCGAGCTTAGTAGTAGTAGTAGCTATTGACAGTTGGTATTATAGCATTGCTTTATTAGTTTATTTACAGTTGTTAACATTCCTGTGAAAATTTAATTTATTTATTTATTTATTTATTTATTCATCTTCGCCAATTAATGAATATACTGACATTTACATAAATACATATACTAGATATAGCTATGGAAACACACACGCATACATCTAAACAGAATTGGCTAGGTGCACGCTACAGCTTTAGTCAATTACAGCGGCCCTATATATAATGATAAACACACAAACTAAGAACCAAATTAAACGGATGCAATACATCAAACAAAATGATGACATAAATACTACTACTTTTGACCAGTTCATTACATGATGTTAACTCAAATCTAGTTAACAAAAGTTGAGATAAATTTCTTTTTTATGCGTTGTTACAGCATTGCACCCGCTTAAACAGGCCTTAATCCATATCTTCAGTGTTCACGCATAATTGACCATAACAAAAAAGATGGCGGATGTACATTTTACCAGAATGCATTGCGGTCGGAAATCGTTTAAAAAAGCGAACTGACGTCTTTTAAAGGACAGGCATAAAACATAAAGTTATTTTCTTCGCTGTGTTAAAATCTCACGTCATTAGGAGTTTTTCTTGCCATCTTTTTTCAGTCAATCATTTTTAATGCCTGCAATGCATTCTGGTAAAATGTACATGCCGCCATCTTTTTCGTTACGGTCAATTGAAACTTGATATTTTATTTTCGTTTATTCGGTATTGGCTATTTTCTTGGTATTAGACTAGGAAATCATACTTGGAAATCTAAAATCATTCGACATATTGAGGGACTATTTGCATTGCTTAAATATTACAAGATATCGTTGCGTTTATGCTAACTCGTGGTTTGTTAGTCGTTTTCAAAGATATGGATTTCTATTGTTTGCGACAGAGCTTCAATAGTCAAAATACTTTTAGTATTTCAGTTGGCAGTATGGCCGATTGAGAGTATGGATTTTGGAGGGCAAATTCACGCGGACACGACCCTTGCACTAAACAATTCGCCGTACGTTGTGAAGGAAGACATAAACGTTTCTGAGAATGCAACACTGAAAATAGAACCTGGCGTAAAGTTGTACTTCCTTCCCGGAATCGCTCTGCAAATCAACGGCTCTCTTCAAGCAAAGGGGAATACGACCCATAGGATTTTTTTGACAAAAATGTCAACAAACACTTCAGTGCGCACTGTGGCAAAAAAAGTTGGTAATGCCGGAATTCGACTTGCGGATGGAAGAAGCTACGATTACGGACGTTTGGAGATTTTTGTCAATGGAAAATGGGGAACTGTTTGCGATTACTGGTTTGGTTATAACGATGCTCAAGTGAGTACACTAATAGTGATTGCTTAACCATTTATACTACTATGGCGTGCTGCCTTGCGTCCCATTTAAACTTTACCAAATCACTGTGTGACTGTGTCTTCCGAAGCCGAACAACAGTTGGCGATGGCTATTGTCGGCAATCGTTAACGAATAAAGTGCTTTGTTGTTTGAAATAGATTTACTTCGTCAACCGCCACCAACAATAGATCGCCGGTTGTCGGTGACGAGAAACAGTGCTTCCTACCAGACTCAGCTGTTCACAGCATGGCTATATACTATACTAGTCACCGATTTTACCAGTCAATCTATGATTGACTGCATGATCGGTATTCTCTTAACAGTTTAAATAAATTTGACACAAAGTATACTCTTTATTCAAATTTAATGGCGTACGTTTTGAGTCCGCAGCCCATATTTTTTGCGCTCTTATCCAAACTCCGGCCTGTAATAAATTGAATAGTCGTTGGACCATATACAGAATTAAAGGCTGTTTTACTAGGCGGAATTCCGCGCGGATCGGAATTTTTCATTGTTTCACGTTCATGCAGAAATATAAATCAGTGCTTTCGATTTCGGATTTATTTGAAAGCATTGATATTTAAAGTAAAAGTCAAGTCCGTGATGCGCATCAGTTCTGCTCACAACAATGTGAGGGCATCAAATAAAACATTTCTCCAAGTTTCGAATTTTTCTCATTAAAACGCTAGTTCGTATTCATATAAAGTCTAGCTAACCTAAATATATTGTAAACTTTCATTGTCTCTGGCGATATGACTTTAAAGCCTGGTTTCCATATGACGCCGACGTCGGGAAAGTATATTTGTCGGTGATTATTGATGAGTGAAAAATTTTGTCTTTCTGAAATCATTTTCTCCTTGCATGATTACAGACAATGAGTCGGCGACAGGTCAGCGTCATATGGAAACCAGGCTTTTAAGCATTAAAATTTTGAACATCAAAATGTTGTCAGAAAACACAACGTATTTCAAGTCAAAAAGTATAGAAGTTCAAAATGTTCCAAACATACCGAATTTGTTTACATACCGAATTCATGCTGTAACTGCGGACACGCTTTGGAGCCAGCGTGTTTAGGTTTGTTTTCTGTTCAAGTTCAGACAGTTTTCGTATGGCGAGGATGGACCTTGTATTGGGAAGATATTCATAGTATGTCTTAATTATAACTTTAATTAGTGTATAGCTCACAAAGAGAGGACATTCGGCGAGTCTTGTTATTATTTTGGCTATGTTTAACTTGCCTTTTACTGCACTTTCTTAGCGTATATTCGACTTATACTTTCTATTATTTGTACGTCAAGTTATCGTATATAATAAAGAGCTTATGTGCAATCGTATGCGTGCACCTCTTATGCGATATCCTTAACTTGTCAGTTCAATCTCGGCGACCGAGCTTTACACAATTAAAACAGCGAGAAAATAAACCGAAAGTTGCGTGTTTCAGATCCCGACTTTAAAGGCCGTTTTCCATTTCAACCGTATCGTAGCGAAACGTAGCGCATCTCATTGTCTTAAAGTCATTAATTCTGGTCGAATATTTCGGAAACAAAGAAATACGCTACGTTATGCTACGATACGTTTGAAGTGGAAAACAGGCCTAAGACTCGTTCTGTGTTACGTTCCAATATAACCAGGGAGCAGCGTGGCGGCGTCTTCAAACAACTTAGCATCAAATGTGGTATAACAACTGCCTAAAATAGACAAAACACTTCCCGACGTTTCGACCTGAGGGCCATCGTCAGGAGAGTTCGTATGAAAAAGGAAGAATACTAACTCTCCTGACGAAAGCCCTCAGGTCGAAACGTCGAGAAGTGTTTTGTCTATTTCAGGCAGTTGTTTTACCACATTTGATGCTAAGTCATTCTGTGTTACTCTTAAAATCCGATTTTAAGTTCTCAAACATAATCTCCAACCGTTTTGAAATACATACCTCTGAATCAGTGAGAGTAATAGATGGGTAGATGGATAGATAGATCGTTTAATAGAATTGCCTTGCAACCAAAGGTTGAATTACACAATTTTACAATATTTAACCTAATAGGGAAAACCTTATTTAACTACTGTACATGCGGGTCTATTAATTTTATACGGTAAAAAGGTTTGAATATGAATTCTAGTATAAAATTTAACTACTAAGTTTAAAAATGTTGGCAGGGATGAAAGTGTTCTTATAACGATTAGTCTTGCACTTAGGTAAGGTAAAGGTATTTTCCTTCCGAAGAAAAAGTGGGAGGTGGGGAGGTAGTAACAACTGAATCTGGGGGAATTTTAATTTGCACTCATTTCTTTCTGTTTCAAACTACCGTGTTTTCTCGGTTAGGTTGCCTGTCGACAACTTGGTTTCATGAAAGCAAAATATAGCTACACGCATGGTGGCGGGAGTGGACCGATTTGGCTTGATCGTCTACAATGTGGCGGATCGGAGAATAATTTACTTAGCTGTAAACATCGAGGTCTAGGGGTGAATGGTTGTAGTAAGTAGATAGCAACCGTTTTCAGTGTTTATCGTCAAACATTGATAAGCTACCGGACATCACTAATGGTCATTCTATTAATATGTCAATCAATATGTGTTAATTATTATGAGCGAAAATCGATCGTGCCTCATTATATATGGACTAGCAAGGTTATGCCACGTTTAAAATGCCCTTTACATTTTTAGTAACCAATCAAAATGCATAAATTTTGACTACTTCTGGTAAAAAGGTACATTATTTGTCATTTTACATGAAGTATTGAAAATTTAGGCATTCTGATTTGCTTTGCTTAAAAAAATATAAACAAATATGCCGATTAGTTCAAATCGCCGTGAATGGTCTTTAGAATATTTGTTTTTCCGTTTATCTTGCAGACCATGGCGAAGATGTTGGCGTGGTATGTGAGTTTTTGGGGAGTTATCTAGAAAATACGTTTTTCTGGAAAGGCGTTAAGTTTAAAAACTCGAAGATACCTTCAACACTACAATACGTGGATATTTCGCATGCTTTTAAAGCTATATTTGGCGATGAATACCTACCTGAGATTGATCATGTGAGAGTCACGAATTCTGCGCTTGGTGTGACATCCATCAACCTAAAGTCTCCCCTGGTTTTGACAGACATCGCTCTCAGAGACAACATCTTTGCTGGAGTTCAGATAACTGGAAAATCGAAGACTATCGAAATCAGAAACACAATCGTTGCTAATACAAGCAAAGGGGATGGATTCTCCTACGCTGGAATTGAAGAAACGGTCGATTTTTGCTCAGTCATTGAAGAAAATGTTAGCTTTCCAATTACGTTTCGCGCGGTTGGACAAGCTAGAAGGAATGTTGAATGTTCAAAAGTAAGTCAAAATTGATAGAAACACAGAGGCTTATAATTTGGTTTATTTACATTAGCATTTACGTAGCATTATTTCTTGTATGACTATACAGGCAGCTACGTTTCTCTCTGCAGGTTTTTCAAAGTGTTGGAGGAAATCGGCTTGTTATTTATGTCCATTCGACACCTGACTCTAGTCAAACTTTTGAATTGTTTGTTTACGACGGAATCGCAGCTAATGGTACCCTACTTGTTCACGTCAAGTCGGGTACTGATGTTTATAAAGATATTTTGCCTCATTCAAGTTCTGGCAATCAAATTTACATACGTTTTCGTTGTTTAAGTTGCCAAGAAGGAACAATAAGTTTCACTGTGACAGTTGAGGGAGGTAAGAAATGTTGACCGATAATTTATTTATAATGAGATCTCACGATGATTTTCGTATAGTGTAAATGCACTTCGGTCTGGTCAAAGGCATATATATGAGAAATAAGTGATTTCAAATAATTTTATGTGATTTCAATTCTCAAATCACAGTTCAGCACGTGTTGGTCTGGATCGAACCGATAGCCTTGACTTAAAGGTGTAAACGCTCGAACTTAGCATAACCGAGCAGACCTCATCAAAATCTTGACCGTCTTCTTGAATTAAATTGCAACTGTCAATATCGCATCAAAACGTAGAACATGTTTTTTCGTTTTGTGTAAAATGAGAGGCGCTTTAGGCCGATTTCCCATTTTTTTCCTGGAAGTGATTAGAACAAACATGTTCAGAGAAAAATCTGATTATAAACAATTTTGCACCATAATTGACTTGGGACCTATCTGACTTTATTATTTACGAAAAATTTAACATCTTCTGCAAATGATAGAAAATATGTATGCATGGTGTTTTCGTTTCAAAACATTGACAAATATTGCCGTATATCTCAATTAAGATTGATACTGGTTTGCAGGGTGTCCCAAAAAAGAGACACTTTAGAAATTATCCTATCATTATCTAATTTGTATGCCTAAGCGCTATGCTAAATCCACAGCTTCTTGAAATAACAACAAAGGTCCACTTACAATGAAATCATGGCTCAACTGACAAAACACAGTACAAAATCGTTAAATTCCCTCGTGCGTAATCACGCGCGTTTAAGAGAGGTTTGAGAACAATGAGATAATTTCAAGTCTCACTTTTTACAGGAAACCCTGCATGTAGAAAATATAAAAATTCAATTCTCAGGTTCAAGTCATTATTCCAGGTTAAACTCTTTGGATTTGGCCACGTTTGAGCATGTTTATTAACAGGAATCCTTCCAAATTGCTCACAGGCAGGGCGGCCCCTCAGATCAATCAGATTTTCTCCTAATATCTAATCTTGAGAACTAATTTTTAGATGTACCTCTTCTAGCGATCACAAACTCCACCTTCATGGACAGCAACGGCAATGGTGCAATCATAAAAAAAATCACAGGCCGAGTTGAAATTTCTAAAACTAATTTCTTTCGAAATAAACAGGATGGTTTGATCATCGAACATCTTTCCGGAATTCTATCAGCCAAAGAAGGCACCCAATTTGTTAGCAACACTGCTAACGGTCTTCGAGTGGTGCAAAGCAGTCTTTTACTGAGTGAATTGATCGAGGTGTTCTCTATTCAAAATGAAAACAAAGGATTGTATTTCAACCGTGTTTGTATGAGATGTTACGTATCTAACAGTTGGTTTGAAAAGAATTTACACAGTGGCCTTGTTATCTCAGAAGGTGGCTTAAAATGCTACATAACCAACTCATTTGTCAAAGAAAACTATAATGGGATTTCCATGGTTAACAATTTTGGCTACGTCGATTTTTTCAACATTACTTCCATATCTAATAAATATAGTGGAATCAACATGCAAGATGGGATGGTATATCCAGTGTATTTCAACATTCAAATTTTTCCAAGAATGATCGCGATGGATGCACAATATGGAATCAAATTGGTGGTTATAAATTTTACAATTGTGTGGCAAATTCAAATTATAGGAACGGGATTAATTTGATAGATGGAACTGACCGATTTAAACCTCGTCATTTTGGGCATTTTACTCTACAAAGCAGCACAGTCAGCGAAAATGCAAAATATGGGGTCAACCTTTCTCCGGAATGCAGGTACTGGTCCAGTTCAGCAGTCACTATGACGTTTTTTGTCAGCGGGAATTCTATAACACGTAACCTCAGGGGTGGTGTTTACTTATCACCACAAAGTTGCCCTATAGATTACAACGTAAGGCCGAGACGAATTAAAGGCACTGTCACCTACAACCATTTCGAACAAAATTTCGAGACGTCGTTCTACGTGTACTGCACTGGTCGTTTCGGCTTCAATGCGGTATTCTCTGACAACACGTTTTTCAACAACACATGGAATGCCATCACTTTGACGGACAACAAGAAATGTGGTTCACAATTTGACTCGAATCCTGTTCATGTCGATATTCGCAGGAATTCTTTTATGAAAAACACAGCTAAGAGTGTCGTATATATTGATTTTTATTCCTTCTCACAAAAACGTTCGGCTCTTGTAAAGAACAACACTTTCAAGCAAAATAAACCTTCCCGTGACTCTTCGTATGACCCTTTTCCGAACAACTTTCGACGTTTTGAAAATAGCGCCTGTGTTATATTAAAAGAGGGAAACTTTTCTTTTCATGAAAATGTTTTTGAAAATCCTGGATTTGATTTTGAAATTTCCACCACACGTCAAGATATTGGTAACATTATCCATGCAGAGTTGAATTGGTGGGGAACGCCGAATGAATGTGAAATTTCTAACAGATTATTTGCTTTTCATCGACGAGTACATCTTTCTCCTATAAAGTACTTTCCGTTCTTTATCTCCGACCATATGACCGAGTACACTAGTCTCAATACCTCGAGACCAGTTTGTTTCCGTAACATCTCATTTATTGGTGGAAGCCTGGACAGAAATTTAACATTGTCTTCTGATCATTCGCCTTATACCGTAACAGATGACATCATTGTATTGCCAAGTGCAACACTAACAGTCGGCCCTAATGTCACTTTGCAATTTCCTGCTAAGGCAACAATGGTTGTTCAAGGCCGTTTGATAGCGAATGGTACAGCAAGCGAGAGGATCAAACTTGTAAGGTCTCAAAGCGAAAGAAGATTCCGTTTGGGTGGAGGTGCCGGACCTTGGGATGGTTTGTTGGAAATTCTGGTGAATGAGACATGGTGGCCAGTCTGTGTTAAATTTTTCAGATTTGACCATCACGAAGGAAAGGTTGCCTGTCAACAACTGGGGTTTGACTTTCATACTTTGACACGTAGTGGCATTCCTTGGGACGTACCAGGTTTTGTTTACAATGTTTTCTGTGATGTGGATGCAAATGATATTATGAGCTGCAGCAGATCTTTTTGGGAATATGGCAAGAAATGTCGGGGATACACCGTGCATATTACTTGCAAGAACCACAATTGGGGAGGAATTCATTTGGCGCTTTCTCAACATGGCAGCAAGTTACATCATGTAGAGATTTGGGACGCTGGATACGCTTATCGCGATGACATTAGTGTTTCGGGTGTTGCACTGAGAATTGATTTTGATCAGCACGATATAAGTCACATTTACATCCACAATTCCAATGGAATTGGCGTTGGAGTAACGTACAACAATCTATACAATAACGCTAGCATAATCCCCATGTCCGTTATATCAAATACAGCGTCGCATGGCTTTAGCTCGATGTCCCCATTGTAATATACGCGTGTTGACAACAACCAGAAGCTTTTTTATTTGGCGCCAAGATACGCACTAACATTAAATAACATACACTAAAAGGAGATTAGGCAATAACATAACATCTCCCCACTAAAGGAATGTACAATGTAGCGAAGCGAATATTGTTCAGCGATAGCAAATATTGTTCAGCGATAGCAAATATTGTTCAGCGAAATCTTACGGGTTTATTTACAACTCGTCCGGATCTAGTTACAGTACTTGATCTGGGCAGGCCCTGACATGCAGGCAATGAGGTATTCGGTTTCGATTGTTGGATGTTTGAGGAAGGCAGCTCAGTGTAATCGTCCTGGTCATACTGAATACGGAATTTGTCCTTGCAAGGTAATAACTGACGGCGATTCCGTCTGACGACGTTTCCTTTGCTGTTAAGGATACGATATGCGCGAGGCTCCTGGCATTTCGCAACCACCTTTCCAACTTCATCCATCGCTTTTCCCCGTGAATGCGCATGCGGACAACAGTACCTGGTTCTATGTCCGGCAGATCCTTGGCGTGTTGATTGTAGGCCTTTTTGACGTTCGCTGGGGTGGTTTTTGGTGGACTTGAAATGTTAGTTAGATTCAAGGACGGTAGGGTGGTGCGGGGTTGGTGCTTAAAGAGGCGCTTTGCTGGAGACACACCATCAGATGCTGGCGTCGTATTTAAGATCAACAGGGTGAGGTATGGATCCTCGTTCGCATCATGTGCCTTCTTGAGCGACTTTTTCACCGTTTGGATCGCTCTCTCGACAAACCCATTTGACTAAGTGGGGGCTTGAGTTACGTGTTTAAAGTCCCACTCTTTTGCAAACTGTTTGAATGCTTGGGCAGTATATTCTGGTCCATTATCTGTGTAAACTTCCTTAGGTATACCATGACGAGCGAAGATTTTCTTTATTTTGTTGATGACACTTTGGGAAGATTTGTCGGTGAGACGTTCGATCTCGATGTACTTTGAGGTGTAGTCGGTGATGATAACATAGTTATGTCCGTACAGCGTGAACAAGTCTGACGCAACTTTTGTCCAGGGTACTTCAGGCACATTGTGTTGGATGAGGGTCTCTTTTGTTGCTGGTTTCGGTGTGTTAAACAGTGCGGGCAACTAGAGACAAGATCATCGATCTCGGAATTCATGCCTGGCCAATATATGGACTGTCGAGCTCGACTTTGCATCTGGCAATTCCATTGTGACCTTGGTGATGATTTCTTTCATTGTGGGGCGTAGTGAGGCAGGAATAATAATGCGTTGGCCCTTTAGTAGTAGACCTTCGTTGTGGGTAATCTCTTCTCGGATGCTATAGTACGGTTTGACTGCTGGAGGAATTTGTTGGGGTTGTTGTGGCCAACCAGTTAGAGTAAACTGTTTGAGCTGTTGGAGAACTGGGTCAGCAGCAGTCTCGTTTTGGAGTTGGGTCAGTCTTGCTGTGCTAATTGGTAAGCAGTCGATGACTGAGTGGACGTGGTGGATTAAATCTGATTCTTCTATCTCTGGAGAGGAATGACTTTTAAGGTATGCCCTACTGAGGGCATCGGAGACGACCATGGTCTTCCCGGGAGCGTATTCGAGGTCAAAGTCGTATTTTTGGAGCTTCATGA